TGGATGTTATTGTTTTTGTTGTTCAAACTAGTGTCTATTGTATTTTTAATCCAGTAAGAAAATAAACTGAAAATTAATCTGATAAACAACCCATATTTTTATGAAATATTGTCTGGAAATTCAAAAAATTAGCATGGAAGGTGCAAAAAGTTGTCTGGAAAATCGCAAAAGTCGAAAAATTGAATGAAATGTCAGAAAGGTTGTCTGAAAAGTCGAAAAAGTTAATGGAAAATCGTGAAAGATCTCTGGGAAGTGTGAAAATTTTCGTTCATTGAACAAAAATGTCGGAAAACATCAGAATGCCAAAATAAAATGTTGAAAAATTCTAATGAAACATTGTTTGGAAAGTGTAAAATGTACCATGCAATGTATGAAAAGATTCCAAATCGAACAAAGTTGGAACACAAATTTGAAAAGTTGGAAAATGTTGAGGAAACACAGTCTGCAATGTTGTATAATAGCATGGAAGTTGAACAAGTTGAACGAAACGCAGGAAAATCAGAAAAGTAAAATAAAGCTTAGAAAAAAGTTCTGAATGCTTAGAGTATTGGAAAAAATAATTCAAAGTTACTTGTACTTAAGATAATAATGGAGAAGCTGAAAATTGACTAGTTATGCAAATCAGATACATTTGTAATTAATATGCACAGATTTGAGTGTAAAACTAATAAAGTCAGTGTCATAATGTCACAGACCATAGACTTTTAAGGTCTATGCACAGACCAACTATGTACCAAGTTTCATTGAGATGTGATTAGAACCAAAAAATATCATGCTAATTAGGTAATTAATATGCACAGATTCGAACCCAAAACTAATCAGGTAATGCATTGTCCTAGAACATCTATGTATCAAATTTCATTGAAATGTGATTAGCTTTCGAGATACCAGTGTGAAAGCTGAAATTGGTTAACTAATTGGTTATCTACGTGATTAATATGCACAAATATTTACCAAAAACTAATCAGGTCTCTGCATAGTCCTAGAGCATCTATGTACAAAGTTTAATCGAAATGTGATTACTAGTACTTGAGATATCAGTGGAAAAGCCAAACATTGACAAATCATTATGCAATTAGGTAATTAATATGCACAGATTTTTACCCCAAATCTAATCAAATCTGCATTAGTCCAAGTTTCTACAACAGACATAGCAGTATTCCATATCTCATTTTTTGAGATACTAATTGAATGAAGATGTAAATCAAATGAAAGTAGTAAATCAAATTAAAAATTGAACAAAGAGTAAACAAATTTAATGAAGGGTAGGACAAATGAAATGAAAAGTAAGAAAATGGGATGAAAAAGTAGGGAAAATGGAATGAAAGGGAGGGAAATAGAATAAAAGTAGGAAAACTGGAATGAAAAGTAGGAAAAACAAGTCATTGAAAATGACACAGTCTCCGTTAAATGTTTGATAGTTCTCTTTGTGCTCGTCATGTTAAAGCGGAGGGGTTGTCGCGAGCGTGTTCTTGAAACTTGAGTTCCAAGTGGCGTATACAACAGATTGTTTATTTACATCAAAACACATGTTCCGTGTAGTAGTAATATGGCCAAAAATAAAAACAGCCATTATTTGGCCATCTTTGATCTGATTATGAAACACCCTGATATGTATATGATGTATGTGCCAAATTCGAATGAAAATGGTACATAAATTGTGGAAATATAGTAGTAAGGCCAAAAAGTCAGATAACTGTCAATCGGCCATCCTTGACTAGATTTAGAAACAAATTGTCATGGACATGCATCCTAACATGTATAAAGTACATGTATGTGCCAAATTTGAATGAAAACTGACAAGATACCGCATAAAATCTTTGATCCAATTGCAAAATAAATTCTAACATGAATAATCTATGTACCAAGTTTGAATGACAACTGACAAAGCATGTCCAAAATACAACATTTTACAAAAAGCAAGATGGCTGCCAGTCGGCCATTTTGAATCGAATCTCTAAACCACTGCATGTGCATATGTCCCACATAAGGTACTAGACACATGCAAAGAATGAACGAAATCGGCCCACAGGATTCTGAAATATGACTCTGGACAGACTGACGCACGAACGGACGGACGGACAGACTCAGGAACTCATGAACGGTCAGGGACATGTATCCTAACATGTATGATCTATGTACTAGTACTAAATTTGAATAAAAACTGACAAAGCATGTCCAAAATACAACATTTTCAAAAAACAAGACGGCTGCCAGTCGGCCATTTTGAATCAAATCGCTAAACCACTGCATGTGCATATGTCCCACATAAAGTACTAGGCACATGCAAAGAATGAACAGAATCGGCCCAAGGGATTCTGAGATATGACTCCGGATGGACTGATGGACGCACAGAGACCAAATTATAAGTCCCAGTTTTCGGACTTTATCCGAACGGGGGACTAATAAAATGAAACTAGGGACATGGAATGAAATGTAGGGAAATTGAATGAAAAACAAGGAAAATTGCCTAGAAAGTATGGAAAAATACAAGAAAATAACTAAATTACATAGAACATAATTTGAGTTGATGAAGAAGAGATTCTAAAATGCCAGTTACTAAGATAGTGTATGTACTATTCTCCTATTGCCAATCATATCGAGATCTCTGTAGGCATCCTACTACATTTCCTTATTATGTCTAAACATAAGATGTACCGGTATAACAGATTCCAGTATACATCAGAATTTATTGTCAATTACCTTTCAAATAGCCAGCACTGAAACAAACATTCATCAAGTATACAAGACTATTGAAACAAGACCAGTGGATCCAAACTGGCAATATCTGGCTTTTCTAACCATTTTTGTAACAGGGCAACTAAACACCTAGCATTGACAATTATACAGGTCTTCCATGCATCATCAGTGTTGAATCACAGTATGACTGGAATCTGAATATGCATGATTTTAACACAAAGCTTAAAACGGTTTCGGGCATGTTTACAAACTAGGGATTTTAGACAAAATGGAAGTCAATTAATTCAACAAATTTTATCAAATCACCAGACAACTGAATAAGGCATTATATCAGTGAGGAATCAGCATGAATTATTTTTAAACATGTCAAAAAATGTATTTCAAATGTGCTAAAGAAGTCGAATATGCAAGTATTCTGAGGGCAAATTCAGGTCTCCAAAATATGACAAAGATTTAAACTGGCAATCAAAGTGTAAAAAAAGTTGAACAACCGGTTTTTCAGAGTGGTGGTGAAAACAAGTACACATATAACCTTACATCATAAGAATTAGAATATCATTAAAAATAGTATTTTATTTAATCTGATCTTCAGCCACTTTACTAAGTGCATCTGCATATTGAAATTGGTTACTTTTTTCATATTCATACATATCTAAAGCGACCTCACAACTTTCCCTCACAACCCTTTCTTCATCTTTAGAGTAATCTTTCAGTATCTTCATGCATTCATCTTTGGCTATTGATCCAAGTGCTTCGGCACATTCATGTCGAACCATCGCATTCTCTTCTGGTTTCCTTAATGATATAATTAATTGTTCAGCAGCAGCCTCGTGCTGCATTTGTCCAAGCACGTATGCAATCTCATGTCGAAATAATGCACTGCCACATTTCAAACCTGCAATGTACAAACATAAAACATAAATTGAATAACAGTTCCCATCACATAGCTAAGACAAGATGTAGTTACATACATACCTTGAGGAAATAATTTACTCTATAATCACGTCACACTCACTCTCCTAAATTAATGTGTAATAAGTCATGCATGGCACAGTTCTTATTAGTTGAGATACATAGTTTTGTTTATACACTGTATAGTTGGAACATAAACATGACAAAGATATAGATCTAGTAGCTGATGCTTGATTATGAAGATTTTTTTAACATTAAAATGAATAATATTCAGACATCTTGTATCTGATCATCAGACAAGTACTTGTTCATATTGAGAGATATTACTCTGGAACAGCATTAATTAAAGCTAAATGGCTACCAGTCAGCCATTTTGAATACACCTATATATCTATGACATGATGTATAATAAATATATAAAATTGTAACATAATCAGTCAAAGCATGTCAGAGATACGGCACTAGAACCACATTCATTAAATCAAAACGGCTGTAAGTCAGCCATTTTAAATCTGATCTGAAAAACTAAATGACGTGCATCAAGGTCCCACAATGTCCGATGTACTAGTATGTACCAAGTTTGAACAAAAGCACTGAGGTTAGCTATGGGAGTGATTTAAATGTGTTGAAAAATAATTTCACATGTGTTTAATTAAAAGACAAGTTTGTTTTAGCTCCCCCTTTTTACTTAAGCTTAAAAAAGAAATGTCTGACACATTTGTATGACACACTTGTCAATAATAATATTTTCCAAAGCAAGCTAGCCAATACCAAAAGTCAGCTCACCATACCGACTACAAGTACAAGTTTTCAAACATTAAGCTAGGCATTAATTCCAAAACAAACTAGTGAGTGGTGACTGCCAGTTATAAAAGCAAGTTAACAAATAGAAGCTGAGCAATTTTAGCTACCAGTTTCCAAAACTAGCTAACCAGTATGAAGTAAATGTTTCAAAAATGAGCGAGCTGCAAGCTAACCTGTACTGACTTACAGTTTACATATAAAGTCGGCCTGTACTTTCTACATGCTTATAAAGCAAGCTAACCAGTTTTCAAATTTCAAGAGAAATTCCTAACTAAGTTACCCAGAGCTGACCACGAGTTACTACAGATGGATCACTGGTATTACTAGTACAAGATATTAAACCAACGTAGCCAGATAAAAACTTTCAAAATTGCAGTGAAAGACGCATATTCGTTCAGACTCTACAAGAATCCTTTTTGTGTCTCTCAAACCAGTAATAATGGAAATATTTCACAAACCTTCAGACAAAGCAAGCACCGATTCCTTACATCCATTATTTCTCAAAGAAAACATAGCTCTATACCGTTCAAACAACGGTAAGTTTTCATCAAGTAAGATTGTTCTCAATGTTTCTATATTATTTTCCGTTGATGGAGGAGCTGGATCCACAGATGTGAACGGATTGTCTGTTAGATTACTCTTATCATTACTATGAAGCCATTCTATTCTTTTAAGCGCCAGTTCACATGTTTCTGCAACCTATATTGGGGGGAAAATAATAATTAATATGTTATCCTAAGAAAATTATAAGCTCCACTTCAAGCTCTATTTAAAACAGTCATCACGCTGTACAGCTTAAAAAAAATCAAGAATGTTTACATCGCATGGGACCCACATCATGTCATGGTGCAGCAATAATTTTGGAACAGAAACAAATTTTCGCTAACAGCATTAGCAAATGAAATTTGAAAGCACAATCAAATGAGAAACCAACATAATCAATGATGTGACAGGCTGAAATTAGGCATTGAAATTTTGATATTTGTTCACATTTCCTGTATATTTAGCCCATAAAATAAAGTTGAAATAACCTAATCTTTTTTTTTCTATACAGTCAAACCTCATTAGTACAAACTCGATTACAACGAAAAACCGGTTACAACGAACGAACAACAAAAGTCCTGTTTGAAATGCTTACTTTCCTATGCAATGGGCATCGTTTATCTGCCGGTATCTAGTGTAAGAAATAGACAAGGGATGAAGGGATGAACCAGTCTTGTGATTGGTTGTTGACAAATGCTGAACAGGCCACGCCTCCAACTGTGCCATGCGTTCGGGCAAACTGCTAGGAATTCCTAAATGAAGTAAATTTGTGTAGTTTTCTTGATTTATTCTGCAGATATCGGTAAAATGTAGGTAGGGCTTTGGGGAAATTTGAAGAAGCAACTAATATTCTTAAACCTGGTATTTTTTTATATTTTATTTTTCATTCTTTTCGTCTGTTTTTTCGAGTTTAAAAAATGTGAGCTGGCTGGAGCCTTCATCCCTTGTCTATTTCTTACACTAGATACCAGCCGATACCCCCCACCCCTCACCCCACTGCAAGTTCAAAATGATTCAAGCTATTGAATCAGGTCTTCGTCATGGTGATATGTTTGCCGAAAGTTTGATGTCAAACCGAGTACGCTCTCTACAACTTTAAAGAACAAGCAGCCTATCGGCTGAGATAGCTCCGCTGTTAGCAATGCACATTTCAATTAAAGAACTGAAGACATCATTAGAAAATGAACAATATGTATAGTATCAAAGCAATCGGACTTGCAGTTTTTAACAAGAAGTCGAAAATATCACTTTTTACCAAAAATGACAAAAATATTCACCAAAATTAGAGAATTGAAGATATCATCACAAAATGAACAAATCTGAGAGAGGTCCACATGTAAGTACCTATATGT